AGTTTTTTGCAAATGGATAGCCAGTTACGCCAGCACCATTTGTTAAATACTGTCTTTTCCCCAATTAACAGACTTTGGGCCTTTGTCAAATATCAGCTGCTCATAGGTGGATGAATTTATGTCTGGATTCTCAATTCTATTCCATTGGTCTTTGTATCTGTTGTACCAGTACCAGGCTGTTTTGAGTACCATGGCGGTATAATAGGTTCTAAAATCAGGTAGTGTGAGGCCTCCCACTTTGTTCTTCTTCTTGAGTAACGCTTACTTATCCGGGGCCTCTTCCCTTTCCAGATGAAGTTGGTGATTTGTTTCTCCATCTCACAGAAAATGCTGGTGGAATTTGGATTGGGGTTGCATTGTATCTAGATCGCTTTGGGTACAGTTGACATTTTCACAATGTTGCGTCTTCCTATCCTTGAGCAGGGTATGTTTTTCCACTTATGCAGGTCTCTTTTGCTTTTTTGTAGTAGTGTCTTTATAGTTTCATTGTATGGTCTTTTACATTCTGGTTAGATTTATTCCTAAGTATTTTATCTTCTTTTGGGCTATTGTAAATGGTATTGATTTGGTGATTTCCTCCTGGAGGTTCTCTTTGTTGATGTAAAGGAATTCAGCTGATTTTTGTATGTTTATCTTTTATCTTGAAACTTTACTGAAGTCTTCTATTATTTCCAGTAGTTTTGTTGTGGATTCTTTGGGGTTTCTGTGTATAAAATCATATCATCTGCAAATAAAGATACTTTGACTTCTCCCTAACAATTTGGATGCCCTTTATTTCTTTTTCTAGCCTAATTGCTCTGGCTTGGACCTCTAACACAGTGTTGAATAAAAGTGGTGAAAAAGAGCATCCTTGTCTGGTTCATGTTCTCAAGTGTAATGCTTTCAAATTTCTCCATTTAGGATGATGTTTACTGTTGGCTTTGTATAAATGCCCTTAAGTATATTAAGGAATTTCCCTTCTATTCCTATTTTGTTGAGAGTTTATATCATGAATGGGTATCGTACTTTGTCACATGCCTTTTCTGCATCGATTGATAAGATCATGTGGTTCTTGTCTTTTGTTTTATTTATGTGATGGATAAAATTGGTTGTTTTTCTAATGTTGATCCATACCTGTATACCTAGTATAAATCCCACTTGATCATGGTGAATTATTTTTTGAAAAGGTGGTGAAAGTCTATTGGCTAGAATTTTGTTGAGGATTTTTGCATCAATGTTCATGAGGGATATTGTTCTGTAATTTTCTTTTTTGTGGTGTCTTTACCATGTTTTGGTATCAGGGTTATGCTGGCTTCATAGAATGAGTTTGGGAGTATTCCATCCTTTTCTATGCTCTGAAATACCTTCAACAGTAGTGGTGTTAACTCTTCTCTGAAAGTTTGGTAGAATTCTCCAGTGAAGCCATCTGGGCCAGGGCTTTTTTTTTGTTGGGAGTTTTTTAATTACCTTTTCAATCTCTTCTTTTGTTATGGGTTTATTTAGTTGTTCTCCCTCTATTTGTATTTGTTTAGGTAGGTAGTGAGTTTCTAGAAATTTGTCCATTTCCTCTAGGTTTTCAAGGTTGTTAGAGTACAGTTTTTCACAGTATTGTTATGATTCTTTTAATTTCAGTGATTACTTATTCTTTACTCCATATCTAGTCCATGTCAAGTCTACCTTCAAAATATATCCCGAACCTGCCCAGTTCTCACTACCTCCATTGCTAATACCGTAAGCCAAATCACATCATCTCTTGCCTGCCCTACGGCCAAGGCCTCTCAGCTGTTCTCCCTGCTTCTACTGTTGCCCATTATAGCCAATTATTTACCCAGTAGCCAGAATGATCATTTTAAAAAGTAAATCATGAACATGTCATTCTCCTGTTTAGAGCTCTCCAATGGCTTTCCATCACATCTAGAACAAAATCCTTACCATGCCCTACAAGGCCTTACATGGTCTGGCCCCTGCTTGCCCTCTCCAGCCTCTTCTCTTACTACTTTTCCACTTAATCACTCAGCTCCAGCACATGTTGGATGTCTCATTTTTCTTAGAACACACCCAGCTTGATGCTTCCTTGAGGACTTTGCATTAGCTATTTCCTTTGCCTGGACATATCTTGCAGGGCTGGTTCCTTCACTCCATTCAGTCTCAGCTTAGATTTGTCATTTCCCCAAGTGGTTTTTCCGTCTACTGTATTACCCTATTAGAGTGTCCTGTTTTATTTTCATGAAAGCACTTACCTAATGTAGTTTCCTCGTTTATTCATTTTTTGTTTGTCTCCTTCCACCAGTAGGGACTTTGTCTTATTCAGTGCTGTATCCCCATTGACTGATACATAATGGGCATTCAGTAGATGTTAGTAGATGAATGGATGGGTGAATGAACAACCAGCTTATTCCCCTTGTCACTGCTTAACACTGTGAGCATTTCCCTATGTCATGAGCTATTTTTCTAAAACATTATTATTTTTTAAATAATAAGGTAGTATTCTGTCATAGTAACATGGATATACTATAACTTATTTAATGATTTTTCTATTGATATCTAGATGATACCTAATTTTTTAAAAATTATTTTGAATGCCACAGTAGTGTTTATTCTTATATCTGTGTGGTTATCTCTGATTATGTCTTTAGGGTGAATTCCTAGAAGTAAAATTGCTGAGTCAGAGAGTATGCTTTAATGCTTTTAATATTTTGCCAAGGTGTCTAATTTAAAAGAGATTAAGAGAATCAACATGACTAGGTAATGGATTATAATATATTCCTCTAATCCATTTATTCTTCACTCCCTTAAATGACAATTTCATACCTTTCTCTGTTTAAAAATTAAGAAATTCCTCTCCCAGTCTCACTTTCAGCTGGTGACCTTGCTTTCACTTTCATTGAAAAAAGCTCTGAATACCATATCTAACTGCATCTGTCTGTGACTGTAAGCTCTATACATGTAGTTTCTGACTTACGACGTATTCTAGTTACGATGAACTGCACTTACAACCGTCCTTTTTTTAAAACATTTTATCGTTAGTAATATGTACTACATATAGTGTTGCAGCACGTAATTTTCTGATATTATCATTCTCTGATGTTCACTCGCAGATGTTCAATTTTATAATTTACTGTTTAAAACACTGCCACATAGATTTAGTTTTTTAAACTAAATCAGGGGCTTCAGTTGCTTGAAAACATGGACCCAAATGCTGATCCCTTTGCTAATGTCAATAGGCAGACTCAGGAAGCAGTGAGATGTTACCACAAAATATATGGGAAAAAAAAAAAGAAAGAAAAGGACCATACAGATAACTCTAATTTTCTGACGAGAAACATCATTCGCATTCCCAGGGGTAATCCAGATGATCCAGAACCTTCCACAAGTGTAGTTATTACTGCAGCTGACAAAATGCCAACATCATCCAATTCTTCTTCATTGTCGGAGTAAATTTTTATGATTTGTGTATTTTTTATGTATGTATGTATTAGTAAAATACACTCGTAAGTTTATATGCAGTGTTTCCAACACCGAAAGACAGATAAAGATAGGATTTATAAAGACACTGATAATTAAAGGCAGTAATAATGAAAACTAAAAAAAAAAAAATGAGGTATTCAACTTACATCAGAACTGACTTAACAACGGAGTCGTCAGAATGGAACTCCGTCATAAGTCGGGGACAACCTGTATACTATAGATGAACTATCCATTCTAAGTCCAGCTCTTTCACTTTTGTACTAAATCCCATCCTTTTCTCTTACCCAATGACATTGCTTTAGAAATTCTTTCCTGAATCAACAGTTTTACTGTCTCTACTGAATAAATCCTATCATCACACAAACATCCTTAAATCTTTAAAAGAAGAAATACAAGTGGCCATTAAGCATAGAATAATGTTCAACCTCACTTATAATCAAAGAATACAATGAGATACCACTTTTCACTTTTCAGATTGTCACAGATTATAATAATATTAATACCTCATGTTGATGAGTTTATAGGAAGATAGGAACTCTTTTATACTGCTGGAGGGGATGTAAATTGTTACCAGAATGCTGTGGAGGACAATTAACATTGTGCATACTTCTGAATCCAATAATTCTGTGTCTAGGAGTTTATCTTAAAATACTTGGAAAGTGTGCTAAGTTGCATATACTGGTATAGTTATCACATAGATGTTGATGTTGTTGCAGATTTAGAAACAAATATCTAACATCAGATATCTTAATTGATCTATGTTCCATATTTTAGAACCTTCTTCTGTACCTTTTTGGTTTTGCTGTATCGGTGGACCATCTGAATTATTTATATAATATTTTTTCTTTCAATTGACTTGCTTTTCCTTTTAACTTTAGCCCTGTCCTGAGTTATTATAGCAGGAAAAGCATGGATTTGTGCTAGTTACATCTTTTTCAAATACACGTTTAAATAAATACATAAGTAAAATGAAGATACTTATGTTTATGTAATATCCAAAATCATTTTATGTTCCATCAGTAATGTTTATACTACACTTTAGGAAACCTCTGGTTAATGGTACATCCATATAATGCAGCCTTTAGAAATGATGATGTAACTATGTATTTATTGACTTAAAACACTTTTTTTATATTAGGTGGTAGAAAAGCTTCCAAAACAGTATGCCCTTTTAAATAAATATATTGGCAATATACTTACATACTTGGTATACTATACACTAAAATGTTAACGGTGATAATTGCTTGGTGATGTGATTATGGGCATTTTTTTTTTTACAACTTTTATCTTTCTGTATATTCTCATTTCTTAAAATTAATGAGCATATATTTTGTAATCATGAGATTAAATTTTAAATGACTGTAAATTTTCCCTCTAACAATTTAGGAAGTGATTATTTCCTAAAAAGCTAATTTGAAAAGCTCTTAACAGATTATAGGTTAATTTGGGGTCGTTTCCCTCTTTTTAAAGTATCTGTACTCTTGCTCTTTGTCTTTGCCAGTATTTACTTTTGCTCTGCGTTCACCAGTATTTACTTTTACTGTTTAAAACAGGCCATTCAGAAGGGCAATACAGAAGTTGCAAGAATACATGCTGAAAATGCAATCCGCCAGAAAAACCAAGCAATTAATTTCTTGAGAATGAGTGCTAGGGTTGATGCTGTAGCAGCCAGAGTTCAAACTGCAGTAACAATGGGCAAGGTAAGGCTTAATATCTGTAAATGAAAGAAACTCTTATTTGAAGTTTAATTAGAATATTAAGAGTTGACAGAAATATTCATCTATTGCAAGATACTACAGGATGCTGATAAAGGCCTTCATGAGCAAGGAGTGACATAGTCAGGTGCTTGGTGAGGAAAATGATTTGGCAGTAACTTTTTGAGCTAAGGTCTAAGTGTCTCACAATAAAGTGATAGCCAGTGCCTAGACCAGAAATACGTAATGTATTTTTACTGTTAAGGAAAGGTTAGACAAATCCTGTAAGTTGATCTGTAAGTAATCATTTAAGAGACTGCAGAAATTTTGTGAGTGCTTGTATTACAGGATGCTAAATCTGTTTTTATACTCCAAATAGGTAACAAAGTCCATGGCAGGTGTAGTTAAGTCTATGGATGCTACATTGAGAAGTATGAACTTAGAGAAGGTAAAAAAATATATATATATTTGATGTTCAGATAGCATCTTTTCAATATAAGTTTTTCTTATGACCATATCTCTTTTTACAGATTTCTGCTCTGATGGACAAATTTGAACACCAGTTTGAAACACTGGATGTTCAAACACAGCAAATGGAAGACACCATGAGTAGCACTACAACCCTAACAACACCACAAGTAAGAATAGGTTATGTACTTGGAATAATTACTTCAAAATATGATGGCTTTATGAACCTAAATCATCTCTGCAATGCTAAACAAACATGCGTTGTCCCCAGAATACAGGTAGAAAGTTACTGCACTGCCCCTAGATTCTTGAGGCATTGGAAAATTACATTCTCTAGTTTGGTTTGGAGTTGTAGGAATTATACTAGGTCACATGTCTAGAGAGTCTAGAACTTGGTTCTGCCTGGCTGCCAATGGTTCTTATTGATGAAGACATTGCACTAGAAGCTCACAGAGGCAGTTGAGTATTATCCTAAGCCTCAGCTAATTCATCTCATTACAAATATTCTTCTGCTACTTACCTACTCTTTAGGTGTGCTATTTATGTATGAGTCACAGATGAACAAATAGTAAATTACAAGAGCAATTATTTTACACATAACTAGGATGTTTTCTGAATCTGCAACCTGGATAGGACCTGCTACATAGAAAATTAAAATTTTAAATGATGTGACATGAGCCAGCAACAGTTTTATAAAATTTAAATATTCAAACAGAAAATTTTTTAAGCTCATTATCACTCTTCTCTTTGATCCCAGCTCCTTTGTCAAATGAACAAAGAACTTGTTACCACTGCTTTAGATGCTAATAAGGAGAAATATATATAGTTTTTAGAAAAGGTTAGGAAGAAATTGAAAACTCTCAACCTAATTTTACTGCAGGAAACTCTCTTCACAAAGAAATAATAAGAGAACAAGCTGTTTTCAGGGTTTAGAGTTAAGAAAAAATAATTCACGATATGTCTTATAGAGTGTTGTGGATGAATCAGAAATATCTGTATCACTTGGAAGCTCATTAGGAATGCAGAATTTCAGGTCCCACCTCCAAATCTGTTGAATCAGAATCTCATTTTAATAAGATCCCCAGGTGATATATGCACTAAGTTCAAAAAGCACTGTCCTAGAGTTTCTGTTTCTTATCCAAGCATCTCAGATGATCCCTAGGTGATTTTATGAACACTTAAGTTTAGGAAACAGTGACTTGGAAAGATGACTTGAAGTCAGGATACCTAGATTTTTAGTCTCAGCTCTGCCACTGCTTAACTTTGGGACCTTGATTAAGATACTCACTACATTAGACCTTAGTTTACTTATCTGTAAAATGTAGGGGTTGGATTTGCTAATATCTAAGTTCCTTTTAGCTCTAAAATATCTGAGATTTATTCACCCAACATTTGCCAAGCACCTCCTGTTTCAGATATACTAGGTTCTGGGGACATTCAAATATATACAAGGCATTCTTCATAAAATCTCAGCTAAAACTTTCAACAGAGGTGGCTAGGATCTGGTTGAACACTCAGATTCTCATCCCTGCTAATGAATTAGGGGAAATTAAATTGACATTTCCACTTTTCAAAATTAATTTGGTAATACCTACAGTCTGTTCTCCACATAGTAGCTGGAGCAGTCCTGTTCAAACAAGTCAGGTCATGTCACTCCTTTGCTCAGAACCTTCTAGTAGCTCCACATCTTCCTCAGAATAAAAGAAAAAGTATTTACAATGGCCTATGAGGATGTTTAGGATCTGCCTCACCCTACTTCTCTGACCACATCTCCTATTACTGCCCATCACTCTACTCAGGCACTTGGCCTCCTTGTTATTTCAAACATGCCAAGTACATTTCTGCCTCAGAGCCATTCTACTTTCAGTTTCCTGTGCCTTGAATATTCTTCCCCCACACACCCTCATTGCTCACTGCCTCACCTCCTTCAGTTCTTTGTTCAGATGTCATTTTCTCAGTGACCTTTCCTGACCATCCTACTTAAAATTGCATCAACAGTACACCCACCATGTCCTGTACTTCCTGTCTACCTTCCCTGCTTTATTTTTCTGCATAACACATACCACCTTCTACTGTATCATTTTATTTATTTTGTTTGCGCCCCTCCCATGTACACGTACTAGAATGTAAGCTTAATGAGGGCAGGCATTTTCATCCCTATTACTTAAAACAGTACCTGACATAAAGAAGGTTCTCAATAAATATTTGTTGAATAAATCAAAGCCTATGAAAAGTCATGCAACCTATAGCCTAGTAATTCCACTTCCAAATTTATTTCAAAGAAACCCCTACATATGTGTACAAAATACATATACATGAGAATGTTTATTGCACCATTGTCTGTAATAGGGAGAAATTAGGATTTTTTAAAAGTCTGTCTAGAAGTAGAATGGATAAATAAAATTTAGTTTATTTCTGTACTGCATTGCCATACAACATTTAAAGTTTATCAGCTGGCAGAAAGGACAATAACAATCTAAAATTTAAATATATTACACTTTAAATGAAAACAAAGTGGGTTAGAACAGGGCTTTATAAATTCGTTCACTACCTTAGAAATACATTATTCAGGGATTCAAATTATATGGGAATCTCACTGCTAATATTTTTCACATAACCTCATAGTTCACAGATTTATAATTTAACATTATTCAGAGAAAATCATATCCTGAAATAATGCAGCTCCCTCTAGTGGTAAAAATATCTTTTTGAAAAGGCTTTGTTTTAAAAATTGTAGACAACCAGAGCCACCGTCTTAAAAGGGGGTAAGAAAAAAAAAAAAGTAACAATTGCTATTAAAATATAATTTGTTATTTTCTTATTCTAGAACCAAGTGGATATGCTGCTTCAAGAAATGGCAGACGAAGCTGGGTAAGAAGTTATTCAGGTGCTTTTGGATAATCTTGATTTAATATCTAGATAGTCTAAAATTATTATGTGGATACAAATATTTCTGTTTTTACCACCAATGGTCAGAGTTAGGTTTATAACCCTAGAATTCAGTGTTGTAAGGACCTTCTGGCCAGTCATCCAGTTGTTTGCCACGCTCAAAAACCTGTGACTTTGTTCAAATCATTTTTGTATTTTCTTTAAAATCTTTGGCGGTGTATTTATTTAGCCTGCGATAACAAGAAATGATAGAGGGTGATCAGGGCAGGCAGGAGTGGTTAAACATTTGCTGAATACCTACTATGCTCAGCAAATACCAAATTTATGAATTTTTAAAAAAGGATCTTCCAAAAGAATTCTGCTATGATCAGACAATTGAGTCATATGTCCATTTTGAGTCCTGCAAACTGCGCAATACGTGCCAAATGTCCAAGGGGGTCAAAAGACAGCAACACTGCAGAATTGCAGATGATCTTTTTTTTACAAAAGTAAATAATTGACACCCTTTTGTGTAACTGCGTTGGAAAATAGAATGTCTGCTGTGGATTGTGTTATTTCAGTTCCTTCGTGTTTTAGAGGGATGATTTGATCATGATATTTGTGCTACAGAAGTCATAGCATTATTCTCTGGTATATTAAATTTAGTTCAAGAGAACATAGTAGCAAATAATAAAAATATAATTTTTTCTAAGCTAAAGATTAAAATTGGATGATATTAAGTTTTATACTCTATTTTCAAAGGTACAGTAGTAGGTTGAAATAGTGTTTATGTACATTACTCTTTTCTCCTGGGAAGGGAAAAATTGAAGATGCCTGGAAAATAGAGGAGATGAGTATATTCTAATATCTAAGCTAATACCTGATTAGAATGAACAGTTAACAACTTTTTAGATCAATAATGTATTATTAATAAATTCAAACCCAGGTTAATAAATTAAAAATCATGTTTGCAGTGTTTGAGAACAGGACTGGAGGTTAAGTTATACACTATTTTGCTCCGTTAGTATCCTTATGTAGCCCAGATACCAAAAAGGAGGTAGCAAGAAAGGTGATTTTTGTTAGGCATTATAGCAGAGACCAAGGCACTGTGTGTCAGAAGACTCTTAACCTTACTAATAAGAGGTTAAGGACTTGTTTCTGATCCTACTAAAAGCTAAATAAGAGGATTTGGGCTTGAAATAAAGCAGGAGAGGTCTCATAAAATGAATGTTGCCACATTAAAGCCTTGCTGACCCTCAGTAGACACCTAGTGGGTAGAGGCCATAGATGCAGCTAACATCCTACAATGCACAGGAGAACCCCCCAGAATTATCCAGCCCAAATGTCGATAGTGTAGAGGTTGAGAAATCCTACTCTAAATCATATGAAAAAAATTATCTACTGATCTTGATTTCCATTGAGGGTCAGTGTCTTAGGCTGGGTTCTCTAGAGAAGCAAAACCATATATGTGTGTGTTTATGTGTGTGTGTATATATTCATATATACACACATGTATATACATACACAACAGACACACATGTATGTGTGCATATATATATATGTACACATACATATGTGTGTATGTGAGAGATTTATATCAAGGAAATGGCTCACGTGGTTGTAGAGGCTGGAAAGTCCCAAGTCCGTGGTTCAGGCCGAAAGCTTCTCCTGACTCACGTAGCTGCAGTTCTGACAAACCCAACATCAGCAGGTCAGATGGCAGGCCTCTGGCTCACAGGCTGCAGAGGCTGATGAATCCCAAGATCGGCAGGTAAGCTGCTAGCTCAAATCCCAAGAACCAGAGTTCAGATGCTGACAAGCTGAATTCAAGATCCAGAGCAGAGCAAAAGCCAGCGAGCTTTGCCAGAAAGTCCACATATATTGAATGCAGGCCATACCCCCAAAGAAATTCCCTTTCAACTGATTGGCTGCTCTCATCATGGAGGAGATTCCATTATATCAGATCTAATCATGGAGGTGATTGCATTGTTATATAACTGCCAAACTACATTGTAACTGCCAAACCACTGAGAATTATGGCCCAGCCAAGTTGACACACAACCTTAACCATCACAGTCAGCAAGGCTGTGATATGGCAAGATTCATTTTACAAGACCTCTCTTGCTGTATTTTCATGCCCAAATCCTCTTATTTAGTAGGACCAGAAACAAGTAGGAGCCCTGGTGGCACAGGGGTTAAAGCACTTGGCTGCTAACTGAAAGGTCAGCAATTTGAACCCACCAGCTGCTCCATAGGAGAAAGATGTGGCAGTCTACTTCCGTAAGACAGTACACAATACTGGGGAAGTCAGCAGTTTGACCAGGGCAAAGTCATAGAAGCTTCACAGACACATCCAAATTCCCTGAGAGACCGAGCTACTGGTCTGAGGGACGGGGACCATGATCTCAGGAGACATCTAGCTCAATTGGCATAACATAGTCTATAAAGAAAGTGTTCTACATCCAACTGAGGTGAGTAGTGACTAGGGTCTTAAAACCCTGCGAGCAGCTGCCTAAGATAAATCTACTGGTCCCATCCCAGCTGAGCAAAGGAGAATGAAGACGACCAAAGACACAAGGAAAAGATTAGTCCAAGGGACTAGTGGACCACAGTTACCACAACCTCCACTAGACTGAGCCCAGAACAACTAGATGGTGACCTGTTACCACCATTGACTGCTCTGGTGGGATCACAATAGAGGGGGAAAAAGAATAGAACAAAATTCAAATTCACAAAAAAGAAAAAGGCTTGCTGCTCTGACAGAGACTGGAGAAATCCCAAGAGAATGGCCCCCAGACACCCTTTTAACTCAGTATGGAAGTCACTCCTGAGGTTCACCCTTCAGCCAAAGATGATGCAGGTCTGTAGGGCCAACAGTAACACACGTGAGAAACGTGCTTTATGGTTCTATCATGTATACAAAACTAATGAGCACACCAGCCCGAAAGCAGGGATGAGAAGTCAGAAGGGACAGGAAGACTGGACAAATGGAAGTGGGGAAACCAGGGTGGGGAGGGGGAGAGTGTTGACATATCACGGGGTTGGCAACCAAGGTCGTGGAACAATTTTTGTATTGACTGTTTAATGAGAAACTATTTTGCACTTTAAACTTTCATCTAAAAAAAAATGATTTAGAGCCTTGGAAACCCTATGGGGCAGTTCTACTCTGTCTTATAGGGTCACTATGAGTCACAATTGACTTGACAGCAGTGGGTTTGGTTTTTTGTTTTGTTTTATTGCTGTTTGAGTTTGTGATTCCTTATCCTTCAATAAAATTTAATATAGCATATCTATATTCCCTGTAGTGCTTTAAAACTGGAATTGGCATACACTGGTCTAGAGACAAGCAGAACCCAAAAACCAAACCCATTGCCATCGAGTCGATTCCGACTCATAGTGACCGTATAGCACAGAGTAGAACTGCCCCATAGAGTTTCCAAGGAGCACCTGGTGGATTCAAACTGCCGATCTTTTTGGTTAGCAGCCATAGCACTTAACCACTGCACCACCAGGGTTTCCTAGGGGAGGTAGTATAATGGAGGTTAAAATCATGGGCCTTAGAGACAGACAGGCCTGGGTTCAAATCCCGTCTCTACCACTAGAGTGAGCTTGGGCAAGTTTACTTAAGTTTTTGGAACATCAGTTATGTAGTTGGATGCAAGTAATGATTCCTACTAAGGGTAGTTCAGGAGCTAAACACTGAACTTGAAGTTAGTGCAAATGTTAGATATGCATCCCGAGGCTACATTTTTCTAGCTAGGATCTAGTTTTATCCTTTTTCAGAAGATTAATTTTTCTGCATAGTAGGAGACATATAGTAATCTCCAGTCAATCTTATCACTGGATGACCATTATTTTGGTCTTTTGTTCAGAAGACCTCATCATTTCCCAGTCTTTTAGTAGCTTTTCTATCATAAGGTTACCATCTACATGGGTTGCTGTTAGGCTCAACAAAAGCACTGTAAAATTATTAAATTTATTTATCCTAAGGTGGCTATTTAGTACATGTTTAAGTTCTGTTTACATTTATAAAATGTGAGCCTGTTTTATTTCCATTTAAATTAAGGTAAAATGCAAGGTGAATTTTTCAAATTTGCAATAAGCCTGTTTTATTGCTTATTATAATTAAGTAAGGAGAAAAATGCCAATATTAACACTCATTTATGCTATTTTTTTTTAAATTTATAGCCTTGATCTCAATATGGAGCTACCACAGGGACAGACTGGTTCTGTTGGCACAAGTGTTGCTTCAACTGAACAGGTAGCAGTTTGGATTTTATCTTGATTGGTATGAGCTTGATGTATATTTAAATGATTTAGGAAATATATATATATTTTATATAATTTTTATATGAATTAAATACGTATATTCGTGTTTTTATATATATGGAAATACATTTACTTTTATTTTTACTTCTGTAAAGATTATTTTCTACTACAATGTGGCATCATCATAAATTCGTAAAATTTGATTAGCCTGAAGGCTCCCTGGAAACTCTGGTGGCATAGTGATTAAGAGTTATGGCTGCTAACCAAAAGGTCAGAAGTTCGAATCCACCAGGCACTCCTTGGAAACTCTGTGGCGCAGTTCTACTCTATAGGGTCGCTGTGAGTCGGAATCCACTCAATGGCAACGGATTTTGTTTTTGTTTTTGTTTTTTTTAAAGACTCTTTAATGAGAAGTATTAAACTTAAGGCCCTCTTACTTTTCTATTTATATGCCTTTTTCATTTAGCAATTGAATTTTTTCCATCATAGTTTCTGCTCTATTAGGTTTTCCTTTTCTTTTGAAATGTTTAAGAAAGTGAAAGTTTAATGTTAATTTTTATGTGAAATTTTGAGACAAGATTTTCAATCTTATTTAATCTGTGAGCTATTTAAAATATTATTGATTTATGTTTAATCACAAGCTTGATGACTTTTAAAATTTGTTTTATCCAGGATGAACTATCACAGAGACTTGCTCGCCTGCGTGATCAAGTGTAACTTAAAGAACTGGTGCTTCTCTTTACTTCACTTGCTTCTAAAATTTTCTTTGTGTGTATATATAGATAAGTTACACTCCGATTAGAATAAAAGCTCTATATATGACAGAATACTTAAACACTATTTGTATAGAATGCTTTGTTTTGGCTTGCTCTGCTTTCTGATACATTAGGAAATTCCAGGGAGTTTCCACTTTCACAAATTTTATAGTTCTATATATTATGTGTAAAATGTGAGGGACATATTTTTGTAGGTGTCTTTGACAGAGCTAGCATTAGCTTGTATATGAAACATCTTCCTCAAAAATGAAGTCAAAATTCTGACACCAAAGTACTTATAGAATGAAGTACTTTATATAAAATACAGTACAGAATAAAGGTGCTTTTTTTTTAATTCGAAGTATATTTTAGTCTCTGTATACATTGACATGTGATACATAAAAGTAAAAGCAGGAAAAGCATATTTACTTAATATGTTTACATGGCCAAAACACCTCATTTAGCATTATACAATGGACAATGCTGTTTTTTTTTGTCTTGTGGTTTTGTTTTGCTATCCAAACGTACATGCAATTTGCTTTCAATCTGTGCTCATCAACTTTTGAGTTTAGATTGTCATTGGAATTTTTACCCATCAGTCTAATGACTACTATTTGAAGTCCTTGACTTTTTAAAAATTTTTCATTGATTATTTTCTTTATATAAATAGAAAAATTCTGTAATATTAAATTGAAGAAATTAAAGTTTGCTCATTTTTAAAAGTGTTCTCTTTGCTAAATATCATTGTTGTTAAAATCCCAGAAAAATTTAACTCTTCATACTTTCAAATGAAATTCTGAAACACGTTTAAGATGATTGTCCTATTTCCACTGAACTCTTGTTAGGATGTATTTTAAAAGGAGGTTAATTTGCATTGCATTAATGTCTTTTACATTTTTCCCTGGAACTCTTGTTGGTTTCAGAAAATCTTGGCCTGTGTTTTTAAATGAACCAACAACAAGGAAAATAAAATTGAACCAACTAAGTACTGGTTAAATATGTTCATTTTTAAATCTTAAAACAACTCTTTAATAATTTGAAGAAATGAAGTAGAAATAAATAAAATGTTTTTCTCAGCCATGCAGATAACTTCCAGCCCACTTGAAGTTGGGACTATAGCATAGGGGGTGGGGGCACCCTGAAAGTCATGAAGTCATAGAGAAGACGACTCTGGAAGGCCAGAGTCCTTGGGGGAAAGCATTTGATCTTTTCATGACCAGTTGTACTACTCGCCATCTCTCTAGGAATATTTTGCCAACTAAAATGAACAAATTAGCATGTACTTGCAATTTTCTGATGTAACAGTCTCAGATGTGGAGAAGTGACCAAGTATATTTTAGCAGGCAGACTACTAATCTAGGTTAAGTAGATAAAGTCTTCTTTACTTACTGCAAGATTGATCCATGAAAGAATTCCAGTGTTTCATGAAATTCAATTGCAGAGCAGATCTGTTTAGAAAGTCTTTCCATTGTAAGCCATGAAGGCATTCAAAGTGCAATTATGGAGCCCTTTGCAAGACTCTTCTTCACTATGTATTCACCATTCGTATATGATGTTTCCTACTGTGAATGACAATGTGTATGAGTGAAGATGATTTTCATTAGTCAGTGAAAAAGAAATTACTCTTTTGCTAAATTTGGGTTAAACCTATTTAACTTTCTTGGTACTTGATTGTATGGTGTTAACTCAATGTGGAAGTCTTCTATTATAATTGATGTTTTATCATTTCTACTTTAAGTGTAAGTATATTTTTTGTATTGGAACATCCTGGGGAGCCATAGAAGAGATTATTGCAGACTGAAATACAGCTTCCTTAATTTCCATTGTTGGGAATTTGTGTACTTATGTTCTTTTGACTTGAATAAAAATTGTTAAATTGTGAATACTGCTTGCTTAATCTATAAATGATTCTAACCTAAAGATAACTTTTGATACTTAAGAGCCATATCAGATTTGTCTTTTAAAAACATTGTTATCTGATGGACACCAAGTTTACTTTTGGATTCATCTATTAATTATAATAAAAATTCCTTTCTTAGAATTTGTTTTTAGACCAATCACCCCACTACCTTTGAACCCTCACCTTTTTAATATAATTAGATTTCTAATAAGTGATTCAATAATTTTAAAGTAATGCATGTCAGATTCTGAAAGAAAAACATCACAGCACCTTTCATTTATCTTCAGCTTTAGTGCCTATCAATCTCATTTCCTCCTCATTTTATAAGTATTTGATTACATCATTTGGTTGAACGTATGCAGCCAAATGCTCAGAATCATTTTGCTGTACTTTCTCCCTTCAGACAACTTGGCTGCATTAATTCAAAGAGTTCTTAAAAAGCACCCCTGAAAAAAATTACTCTTCTGCTCACGTGCCTGGATGCCTGAAATCTTCCACCTTCCTGTGAACCATTTTAGGTAGGCATTATAATGTGGATTATTTTACCTTATTAATTTATTACCAATCATTGCTACAGAGAGGAAACAGGAATAGGAGAAAAACAGGTAAATTATGATAAGAGTTGAGTTTACTTTATAGTTTACAAAGCTATGGGAAAGGAGCCTCTTCACTACCTGAAGAGAAATTCTGTTTGAAGGGTACTAGCTAGCTATGGAGAAAGTAACAACAGTGATTGATACAGTACCAAAGACAAACTTAGCCTAATCCTTTGTGGATTTACTGAATACTGAAGTTAGTGGATAACGGCTCCAAAATGAAGTGTAAATTGGTTCTTGTGTAGATTGTAGAGAAAAAGCCCTGAATCTGACTTACAGTGATTGATGTGTTCTAGCCCCAGCTCTGATAACTAACCCCTAACTTGGATAATTCTCTGACCCTGTCTGAGCCTTAGATTCCCTTTCTACTTACTCTTTTCAGAGTGTGTTGGTTACATAAATTCAAGTGAGTTGCTGTAGTGCAACTACTTTCTATTTTCTACCATTCCCTCCCCCCCGACGAAAGAATTCTAAATGTAGTGTTATGGTACTATGGCTCTTAGAATCTTTTGTTTCAGGAGACCTCAAAGACGTTTAGCCCATCCTACCTCCCATTTTTATAGAAAACTGAAAACCACATTTGTTGAGCACCTACTGTATGTTAGGCACTGTGAAGGGTACTTTGATATCTTATGGTTTATTTAATCTTCAAAAGAATCCTGTGAGAAATTGGATGATTGTTATCCTGGTTTTTAAAGAAGAAACAGGCTGAGAGGTTAAATAGATTGCCCAGATGCATACAGCTACTAAATAACAGAGCTACGATTTGATCACAGTTGTGTCTCACTTCAAATTCAGTGCTCATGCCACTAGGCTATACTTGGATTCTAACTGAAATTAAAAGATGATCTTATTCCTCATCCACAATGCTTTCCACACTATGTCATTTGCTGAGTTTATTGCTGAGACAGACGGTAACAACCACCAAAACCAAACCTGTTGCCGTTGAGTTGATTCCAGCTAAGCAACCCTATAGGACAGAGTAGAACTGCACCATAGGGTTTCCAGGGGGCAGCTGCTACTAATAAAATATTTGACAAGAAGTAGTTCATCCATAGGCAAACAAGCGTTTAGCTGAGTGTTTCTAGGCAAGGAGTGGTTCCATTTTCTTCATTCTGGGCCATCAGCAAAATACGAATTTTCTCAATTTTGGAAAATCACAGCTGTTTTCTCACAAGTTAAAAAATAGAATCAGTATGTTACAAAGTTACCTAAGTTGTACCTTCATATATTCAAACTTTTCCACACCAGAAAATGCCCCCAAGCAAAATGATATGTTGGCGAAATCATTCAACTGAAATTGCAAAATAAAATCTATCCTGACCTATTGATGATGCTGTATATTCTTATATCACTTCCCCACTGTCTTAGTCATCTAGTGCTGCTATAACAGAAATACCCCAAGTGGATGGCTTTAACAAAGAGAAATTTATTCTCTCACAGACTAGTAGGTTACAAGTCCAAATTCGGGGCATCAACTCCAGGGAAAGGCTTGCTTTCTCTGTCGGCTCTGGAGGAAGGTCCTTCTGATGCATCAGCCTTCCCTTGGTCTGGGAGCATCTCAGCACAGGAACCTCAGGTCCAAAGGACACGCTCTGCTTCCAGCACTGCTTTCTTGGTGATGTGAGGTTCCCATGTGTCTCTGCTTGCTTCTCCCTTTAATATCTTAAAAGAGATTGGATTAAGACACTATCCAATCTTGCTTGTATACCTCATCAGTATAACTGCTGCTAATCCATCTTATTAGATCACAGTGACAGAGTTTACACAACACATAAGGAAATCACGTCAGATTACAAAATGGTACACAATCATACAATACTGGGAATCATGACCCAGCCAAGTTGACGTATTTTGGGGGGCACAGTTCAATCCATGACACCTACTGTAGTAACAGGTACAAATCTTTACATATCCAGGAAACAACAGTAGCTTCTAGCAATATGAAAAGAGATCTGCATTATCAATAACTCTAGTAATGTTCCCCTCAGAAATTAATATCTGTTGCTCCTGCCTCAAATGTTATATCATTGCAGTGATGTAGCAATCATCATTACCAACTTACTCTACCTGTTTCTACTGCTGGTCACTAACCATTATTGACATAACCAATCTCTTATTTTCCACGTTCCTAATCCCCCTCCCCCACCACCAAATTCAAACTCTGTGAGAGAGGATCTAATGGGATCAGCCAGTCACCATCCCACCAGACCCCCTACTGGGCAAAGCTCCCATGCCAGACTGTCTCATAGCCAGCTGAAAAGTCCATTATATGCCTGCTGAGGTGGGCTGGTCACCTAAAGCTAAGGAAGCTTTCAGAAGGGTACAGTGAGTGTGGGAGATACCTTAAATACCCTGTTCTGTACGTCGTCTTACTCCTAAACCCATGCTACACCATGACGATGTTGCCTCTTTTTAATTATGGTGCACTAACATTTTTATGGCACTGAGTCCTTACACCTTTTCCGTTGTCTTGATAGTATTTACATCTCAGATCGGGGCAGAAGGCATAACTTTATCTTCAGTGTCCCAGCTTTCCCTTTTAATGCCCATCATCCTGCTTTCAGCAGCCCTCCCTTCCATCATGCTTTCCTGAGACAGAACTAACATTTATTGAGTACTTGCTATGTAACAGGCATGTCACAAACATCATCTCACTTAATTCATACAACATTCCTATGAGGTGTAATATCATCCCCATTTTAAAATAGGGCTGGGCCTGAGGCTCGGAGAGGTGAAGTGACTTGGTCAAAGTCTCACAGCTAGGAACTGAGAGAGCCTGGATTTAATACCAAGTCTGTTTGAATCCAAAGCCCATGGTGCTCACATTCTGCCAAACTGTCTCTGAAAAAAGGCATCTTCCAAACTCACTCATGGAGACTTTTAGGAATTCTTCTGCAAGAGAATTTGGATTTTAGATAATAACAGCAGCTACCAGTTTTTGAGCATTTCCTATGTGCCAAGCACTGTGTTAAGCACTTAGTAAGTGTGATCTCTTTAATCATCTAAACAACCACTCTTTACCCATTTTACATATGTGGAAACTGAACTTGCCTACGATAAAATGTTAGTAAATATTTATTTTAAGTCTTTAGGAAGAGGATGATGCTTAACACAGCACTGCCAGCAGAATTTGAGCATGATTGCAAGGCTTACAGGAATTTTTTTTTTTAATGAGGGATTATAATCCATCTAGTCATAAGGCTATCCCTGTCTGAAGCATGCCCCTTTTTGCTTACGTGGAGATGAACATTTTAGAAACAGACGCTCATTTACCCACCCACCCCATTCCCTAAAATAAGCCCTAATGAAATGATAGAATGACTCTTGATGCCCACCTTATGCTGAGATGATCATTTCCTCCTTGCAGCCCTTTGCTTTTCCTCCTGGAGGAAGTTGTGCTGAATAACCATGGGAGCTGAGTCTGACCAGCTAGGAGTTACTGCTCTTCTGAGGATGGCAGCCTGTTAGGGCCTTTGGGGTTGAAAACAGTTTCATTGTTTTAAGTCTTTTCTGCATGAGCAGGCTTTTCTCATTTAGTACTGGGAGGTGGGGGCTGCGAGTTGCAAATACCAGAGCAAATACACAGCAAGACTCTCCTGTAAGTTAGCTGCTTTTCCTCCCCTTTGGGATGATTCAAACAGAAGTTATCCTGGATAATTTCAAGTCCTTGGAATATTTGCTGTCGACTTAGCAGGCATTTCATACTTAAACTGCCTAGAGCTGTGAGCCAGTGTTGACCAGTGTTTCACTGTCCTGGAGAGTCTCCAGAACTTGTAAATATTCCACTGAAAGCAACTCACGGGAAGGGGGCAGCAGTGGGCCACTAAGAGTTCTCCAAGTAGCCTCCAGAGTACAGATCCCCGCGAAGGGTCAGTTTCTTTTCTGGCCCTTCAGCTACCCCTTCTGGACAGGAGGGAGGCTGAGGCAGCAGCCAGCTTTTCCTGAAGCTTCTTTCTCCCTATGAATACCCAGAAAACCATGCTATCTAGTAGTGTCCAGGCCTCCTACCCCACTAATGGAACAGATAGGACACTGAGAGCCAGAGAAGGACATGCCTGGTAAACATACTGTATCCACATCAAATCAGTGGGCTTTCTTGGCTCTAAGATATGAAGAATAAAGATAATAAAATTAACAACTGCATCCAAAGGGCACATTTTAATAATTCAGTATAACCTTTCTGGAGTATAAAAATTTACTAATTCTCAACCTATTTTTGTGTCCCCTATAAAATTAGTTGTTGAAACTCATATGACAAAGATTTATTACTATTTATTATTTAACCACCATTATCATTCAATTATTCAGAAACTTTAATTTCTCAAACACAGCCTTAAGAAAGGATGAGGGACAGGATATTGTTAACTTAATTTTACAAATGAAT